CACTGCAGTTGTTCTGCTGAGGGATCGTGCTGGATCGCTCGTACCATGTCGGGCACTCTTGGACTCCGGATCACAAATGCACCTTATAACCTCCAGCCTCGCCCAACAACTTAGACTGAAAAGGACCATGTCGTCGGCCGCAGTATCGGGTCTTGGGGATTCCAGTTTTGTATGGGAGGGCTATACTGTGGGACTCAACTTGCAGTCCCAAGCCTCTGACTACAGTACCAGTTTCGTCGCGTTGGTAGCTCCCACAATCACCAAGCAGCAGCCCAGCTTTTCAGTTGACGTTTCTGGTTGGAAAATTCCGCCGAATTTACCATCGGCAGATCCGCAGTTCTTCAGGCCACAGCGTATTGACCTGCTCATTGGGGCTAGCCTATTCTTCGAGCTGCTGTGCATTGGCCAAATCAAATTGGATGTTGGCTTGCCATCGGTTCAGAAGACTCGCCTTGGATGGGTGGTTTCAGGAGGTGGTCAGCAAACGCGTAGGACAGCCTTACTTGGGGCTCAGGCCTCATCTGACGCCAGGCAGGAGTCTCTTGATCAAGTGGAACTGTTACTGAGGCGTTTCTGGGAGGTTGAAAGTTCCACTGAAGATTCGGTAATGGTCAAGCAGGAGGATGTCGATTGTGAAGATCACTTCAAAGCAAATTTCTCGCGCCTGTCATCTGGAGAGTTTGCCGTGAAGCTGCCCATCAAGAAAAGTTTGGAGATCTTGGGCGACTCATAACGCAAGCATATCGGCGGTTCCTCAACTTGGAGCGGAAACTTGAGCGTCGTCCGCAGCTGAAGGCTCAGTACGCATCTTTCGTTAGGGAGTACCAAGAGCTTAATCATATGTCGTTGGTGGAATCAGAACTGCTCAGTCGTTGTCGCTATTTTCTACCGCATCATTGCGTGTTTAAGGAGGACAGCACGACCACCAAATTGCGGGTCGTGTTCGATGGATCTGCCACAACATCAACAGGTTTTTCGTTAAACGAGGTCCTAATGGCGGGGCCTACTATCCAGCCAAATCTGCTACATACGCTGCTTCGTTTTCGTACGTTCCTCATTGCGCTGACTGGTGACATTTGCAAGATGTACAGGTGTGTCCGAGTATCTGAGCCGGACAATTACCTGCAGTGCATCTTATGGAGGGATTCCCCTCACGAGGATGTGAAGGCGTTCAAGCTCGACACAGTAACATATGGAACCAAACCGGCTTCCTATCTTGCAATTCGTTCCATGCTCCAATTGGCAGAAGAAGAGAAGACTGCTCAGTTATTGGCTCGGGGAAGGTTCCCAATTCGGAAATGGTGCTCCAACGTCCCTGACGTACTTGAGGGGATTCCTGACAAGGATAAGGAAACGCTGCTAAGGTTCGACCAAAGACAATATAAGTATAAGATGCGTAACGCTCATACATTTCAATTGCCATATGCAAGACAATTTTTCGGCCAGCGACGAAATTCGCGCCATCTCGCTCGCACAAATTTGAGAGCGTACGAATCTAAAAATAGAATCCGCTTGCATGTGTGAGTACACACAGAACAGCAAGTGCGTATGTGTGCGTACTTGTGCGAAGCGGACGATTTTCGAGACGGAAACCTTTTTATGAGTTGAGAAACGAAATTATATACAGGCGTTGAATACGTCGCATCCTGAATACCCTAATGGCAATTATTCCAATCTGATTCATGAAATTTCATGTATTAAATATATTAAGTATTTTTATATATGTATTTCCGATCATTATTATCGAATATACCATCTTAAAATAAATTATCGTTGGGGGGATATATACAATATAACAGTTTTTTAATATTGGGGTGGTAAGCGTCTTGCAAAATTAACTTACACTTATAAAGTGAAGGGTATATTTCGACAGCGCTGTAAAAAACGTATGCATGTGCACACATACAGTCGTCGCGATGACTCGGCTCGGCTGTCGCATCGGCAAAGAACCAACTTCGTGTGCATTCGACGAAATGTTCAATGTTGTCAACGATTGCCCGTTTTTATGATCCTTTATTGGGACTGATTGGGCCTGTCATCGCAAAGGCAAAGATTTTCCTTCAGTTGGTATGGAAGGAGCAGCTCCAATGGAATGAGAGTCTGCCAGAGTCCCATTCATCAGCGGTGACCATTTTCTGCGAGAGTTTGTCCACCCCTTAGCTGTTTAGATTTCCTCGTCTGGCAGTGCTCCCCAATTCAACAGTGGAAGTTCACGGGTTTTGTGACGCCAGCCTAGACGCCTATGGCGCATGTATTTACGTTGTGTCAAGGACAAATAATCGCGCGCACGTTCAACTTCTGTGTGCGAAGTCTCGTGTCGCCTCTCTTAAGGTATTGACGATGCCCAAGTTGGAGTTATGTGGCGCTGACTTGCTTTCTCAATTGATCAGTGAGATACAGCAACTTAAATTGTTCACTGGAATCTTCTATTGCTGGTCCGATTCCACAACTGCCTTGTCTTGTGTGCGCCATGACTCATCAGTTTTAACGTATTCGTTGCAAATCGGGGCTCAGCCATTCATGAGCGGACTGCTCAGATGAAGTGACGCTACGTGCCCACCGCCCAGAACCCTGCTGATATATTGTCCAGAGGCGCTTTGCCGTCAGAGCTTCTGGAATCGTCCCGACGGAGTTCCCGGCTGTGTACTCAGGTACTGTTCCGACGCTCTGTGTGGACCCTTGCTTAAACTATTCACCCTATCTATTAACTCTTCATGCTTCCCCCCCATCTGGAAGGAATCTTTTATTATTCCGCTCCATAAGAAAGGTAGCAAGTCTGATGCAAATAATTATAGGGGTATATCTAAGTTATCCGCTATTCCTAAAATGTTTGAAAAAATTTTAACTCCGCACTTGCAACATCTCTGCAAATCACTTATATCTCCGTCCCAGCACGGATTTATAAGGCGACGATCAACGACCAAAAATTTATTAGAGTTTACCTCTTTTATCATTAAAGGCTTTCAAGGTAACTTGCAGACGGATGTCATTTACACTGATTTTAGTAAAGCATTTGATTCTGTAAACCATTCCCTTTTAGCACAAAAACTTGACCTTTTAGGGTTTCCGCCTAATCTCTTGAGATGGATTTCTAGCTACCTTTGTTCTAGGTCTCAAAGAGTCCTCTTCAAAAACTCCTTCTCTTCACCTGTTAAGGTTACTTCTGGAGTACCACAGGGCAGCCATCTAGGCCCCCTACTATTCACACTCTTTATTAATGATCTGCCTTCAGTATTAACAAACTCTCGAGTACTCATGTATGCGGATGATGTTAAAACTTTGTGTCCAGTATAAGGACATTTCATTTCACTCTCGCTTGCAATCCGATCTCAATAACTTTCAATCATGGTGTTGTGCAAATATGTTACACCTAAATGCCTCGAAATGCAAAGTAATGACATTTCATCGCTCCAGCCCCCTATTGGCTCCTTATAGTCTCTGCGGTGGTTCTCTTGAGAGAATTACCTTGGTTGATGATCTTGGTGTTAAATTAGACCCAAAGTTGAAGTTTTCTGAACACATTTCTACCATGGTAAATAAGGCCATGGGTGTGCTTGGGTTTATAAAGAGGTGGTCAAAGGAATTTGACGACCCCTATATAACGAAGACTCTCTATATCTCGCTTGTTCGTCCGATTTTAGAATACGGCTCTTGTGTATGGTGCCCCCAGTACAAAGTACACCAGGACCGTATAGAATCAGTCCAGAAAAACTTTTTACTTTTTGCTCTGCGTGGCCTTAACTGGGATGCAGGTGTGAGACTGCCATCTTATCCTCGTAGATTGCTTTTAATAAACCTTCCAACCTTAGTTAGTCGTAGAAAAATGCTTGGTGTGATTTTTATGCACAACCTGATCAAGGGTGACGTAGATAGCCCTGACTTGTTGAGCCGCATAAACTTTACGATTCCTATTAGATCCACTAGAAACTTCATTCCTCTTTTCCTTCCGCTTTGTAGATCGAATTATTCCTTGCACGAACCATTTAGGGTACTTTGCTCGGACTTCAATTCCCTTTACCACATAATATCAACTACTAATTCCCTTCCTCTTCTTAAATCACTAATACTAACATACCTTTCCCGTAATTAGTTATATTTTTTAGCTATCTTTGCATGCTTAGCTCTTTGAGTTGTGTTTAGCTCTAATTTTCCTCGAATTTTAGTCTAACACCTATCTTTCCTGCATGCTCGCGATCGGTTCGGTAACACGCGTCGCGCGTCGGCGGCAGCGCCCCTCGGTCGGTTGGGCGGGAGGAGGGCTGCGTTTCTGCCTGGGTTCCGCGCGTAACAGTCTTCGGCTTGGTGTCGCATGGGCCACTTGATGGTGCAGTCATTGCATATCAACGTCCAGACAATCGCATCTTTAGGCCCACGGGCCACCCTTTCTTCAAGATGAGCAACCCCTGTGGCCAGCAGCGTCTATTCAATCCGCGCCAACACTTGAGTTGCGCAAGAGAGTCCTGATTGCAGTTTGTCCATTCGTAGACTTATCTGACGGCCGAAAGTTCTCCAATTCCTTCGGAAAGATCCAGCGCACATTTGGATACGTCTTCAAGTTTGTGCAGCGCATAAAGTCGTCCGGATTAACAGTAGCTGACATCGTTGGTGTTTGGCGGATACTTCTTCGTTCGATTCAGCGAGTGCATTTGTGGCCTGACTACAAGACTCTGCGTGACGAACAGCAGGTGCAGTCGTCGAGCTCTATCTCGTCACTCGCGCCATTCCTGGATGACCATGGCTTGTTACGCGTCGGTGGGCGGTTGGAAAATTCATCACTTGATTTCAACGCACGGCACCCAGTCATTCTTCCAAGGCGTCATCCCGTCACATCTGCTGTAATTGTGCATGTCCATGAGCAGAATTTGCACGCTGGGCCTCGGTCATTGCTCGCACTAATTCGGCATGAATATTGGCCGATTGGAGGGCGCAAGACAGTGGCCAGCGTCGTAAATCGCTGCACCAGATGTTTTAAGGCCAAGCCGCGCCTGCTGCAGCATATTATGGCCGACTTGCCGAAGGATCGTGTGAATGCGTCGTACGTTTTTGCAGTCACCGGTGTAGATTTTTGTGGTCCGTTCTTTTATAAGAGTGAGGTGCGGACCAGACCACCCATCAAATGCTACATATGCCTCTTCATATGCTTTGCCACCAAGGCCGTTCACTTGGAGCTTGTGCAGGATCTATCGATGCCAGCGTTCATAAGCGCTCTAAAGCGATTCATTTTAACTCGCGGTCGGCCCAGGAAAATTTGGTCCGATAACGCAACCAACTTTGTGGGAGCAAAGAACGAGTTGGCAGAGTTGAAGAAGCTGTTCCTGGCAGAAAGGCATATGAAGGAAGTTCAGGAGTTTTGCGTTGCGGATCATATTGACTGGCGGTTTATTCCCCCTCGCTCTCCCCACTTTGGCGGACTCTGGGAGGCTGCGGTTAAAACAGCCAAACATCATTTCTACCGTTCCGCTTCCAGCTCCTTGCTGTGCTTTGATGACCTGAGAACGCTTGTGTGCCATATCACTGCCATAATAAACTCAAGGCCATTGCTTCCCATTTCAGAGCATCCTGACGATTTAGACATGCTAACACCTGCGCATTTCTTAGGTACTGCTCCAATCCGTACCTTCGCAGAACCAGATGTGACCGGACTCAACTTCAATCGTCTTGATCGCTGGCAGCAGGTCAACTTCCTGCAGCAGACTTTCTGGTCCCGCTGGCGAGAGGAGTACCTCACGCTTCTGCAGGAGAGGGCAAAATGGAGGACTGAGCAGCCTAACCTCAGCGTCGGCGACGTGGTCCTCGTAAAGAACGAGAACTTGCCTCCACTTAAGTGGCCGCTGGGAAGGGTGACGAAACTGATCGCCGGCAGAGATGGCGTTTCCAGGGTAGCTGAGCTCAAAACGGCTACTGGGAGCACCACGAGGGCTATCGCAAAGCTGTGTATGCTGCCAAAGAAGGATGTCGACGACCCGTGCTCTTCAACGGGGGGAGAATGTTCGGCTAAGCGCCGGCCCATGGCAGCGCAAAGAGAGCAGAGCTAAGCTCTTATGCACAACATTGCCTACCTGACTCTGCGCTCTTGAGTCATTTTCCCCTTCCCGAAAATCGTCAGCCGACGAAGGCTGTGAGGGAGGCTCGTCTGCGCAGCAGAGACACTTCGAAATCTAGCATCATCAAACGTACAACATATCGTCGGTTGGCACAGTGACCTGCTACATCGTTATTACCCTTTATACAAAAACCCATTATTGTTCTCGCTTCAACACAGTCCACTACGGGTCCGCCTGTTGCTAACTCCTGCCCATACTATTCCCACTAGAGGTGGAAAAACATCGATGAGACCATCGATGCATCGATGTTTTTAAAATTTTTATAAGCATCGATGTTTTTTGTCTAAACATCGATGTTTTGTTGTTATGTTTTTGCCGTCTCTATGAAAGAAAAACATAAAGAGAGAAGAAGATTAAGCGCAAAATGTATGTCGTTAATGGAGCTATTTGTTATTTATATTAAAACCCTCTTTTATATATAGCTTATAAATTGTCTTCGTTTGGATTGGAAGTAGCCTGTGCAGTGTGCAATTATTGAGCGATGGAAAAAAATCTTAAGAGTAAGTTATTCACGTTATTCAACAATAGAGTAAACGCACATGTGCTTTTTCACATGCACACACATACATACATATGTATGCATAAAATATTAATAAATATATTATTTCTATATCATAGGAACTTCAAAGGAAAACTGTGAGGCTGGACCTTTGAAAAGCAAACGTGAATACTCAATGATTGCGAATGATCGCAATTGACGTGCAACCGTTTAGTGTTGTCAATGATAGAGGATTTCGTGAGTTGTTAGCAGAAATGGACCCCCGCTACAAGTTACCAAGCAAAACCCATCTCCGTAACGTAGCGATTCCAAACGCATATGCAGATTTGAAAACAAAACTTAAATTTGCCTTGGATTGCGTGGAAAATGTGGCGATCACAGCCGACGGATGGACGTCCATGGCAAATGAGGGCTACTTAACCATAACTTGCCATTTTATAAATTCGGAATTCCAGCTAAATTCAGCCGTACTGTCCACAACGACTCTGATAAACCAAACTAACCACACGGCTGCCAATATCGCAGAATCGATTCGAGTGGTTTTAGTAGAGTGGGGTCTAGTGGAGAAGTTGTTTGCATTGTGACAGACAATGACGCTTCGATGAAAAAGGCTTGTGAGCGTCTCGGAATTACACATTTCCCTTGTTTTGCCCATACACTTAACTTGCTGATTCAAGATGTGCTAAAAATAGACATTCTTGATCCAGTTTTGTCAAAATGTAAAGCTATTGTTACTTTTATGAAACGCAGCCCTATTGGAATGGCAAAATTTAAACAGGCACAGGATGTTGAAAATCCGATGGGTTTAATTCAAGAAGTGGCTACTCGTTGGAACAGTGCGTTCGCCATGGTTAAAAGGCTCTTAGATACTAACGACACATTATCAACCGTCTTGCTTAGTTTGCCTAAGGCGCCACTACCATTTTCCGTAGAGGAAATTGATATTATGAAGGAATTAGCTGAACTCCTTTCTTCGTTCCAAGAAGCAACTGTCGCAATTTCCGGCAGCAAGTATGTAACCATATCTCTGGTTATTCCACTTACTTGCGAAATACAGCAAAAGCTGAACAACTTAAAATCGAAACTAAAAACTGTAGAAGTTCTGAGTGCCTTAAAATTCTTATGTACTCGTTTAAACACAAGGTTCCTTCACTACGAAACACGAACTGTTACTCAAATAGCAACAATAATTGATCCACGCTTTAAAAAGGAGGGATTTTTAACGATTACGAATGCAGATCAAGCAGCTACTGCTTTGGAGAAGGAAATTGATAATTTCTTGTCGAAAACTCCACAGGAACTTCAAACACTATCCGAACCTCCACCGAATCCAACATTTTCTTTTCTGCAAAACAAAGTAAAGGTTAAAGTTAAATCAACTCGCGCGGATGCCATTATGACTTTAAGACAACATCTGGAAAACCTTAACGAGCCCAAGGAAACTGATCCTCTCTTATATTGGAAGGTAATACTAATATTTCAATTGAAATACTTTTAAATTCATAGTTACATTTTTAGTGGATGAATACAGGCGGCATGATGCCATTTAAAGCTGCAGCCCGAAAATATTTTTGCATCCCGGCAACATCCTGCGAGTCAGAGAAGATGTTCAGCAAGGCTGGACAAATTATTTCCGAACGTCATAGTCGCCTTAAGCCGGAAGTGGTGGACCAGTTATTATTTCTAAACAAGAATCAGGACTTGTTTTAAAATCTGGGAAAATTACCTTTTTTTTTTTGTATATTGTTCTGAATGGATTTTGATCTCAAATGAAATAAAACTGTTATTTTTTATAATTTTAATCATATGCTTTGCAGTATTGTATGTATTTTTTAAAATTTTTTTTGTTATCTTGCAAAACATCGATGTTTCATCGATGTTTTTCACTAAAACATCGAAAACATCGATGTCTCCAAACATCGATGTTTTTCCACCTCTAATTCCCACTCGCCTTGCATGGAAAATAAAGAAACTAACATAATCAAACAAACTGTGTTGTGAATTAATCAAAGTACAAATTGTCGATTTAACTCTACGCTATTGAAAAATCTCAATATCTCAACAGACAGCTCATCAAATAATGGGAAATTTGCCTCAATACAGAGTTACAATGACATACCCGTTCTTAAATACTGGAATAGATTATGCAGGTCCTTATTACGTCAAATGTTCCAAAACTCGAGGGCAAAAGACATATAAAGGATATATAGTGTTGTGTTTCGGTATGGAGAAAACGTTGTGTTCAGGGTGAGAACTAAAATCGAACTGACTTTATTACTCTCTCAAGCGCTCTCTGAGCATACATACATTCGGGTGAGGTAGTGTTAGTGTGTATGTGAATACATTTCAATGGATGGTGAAATAATACTTATGTTGCTAACATATAATAATGAAATAATACTTATGTTGCTAACATATAACACATCTCTCCCCTTAAATTACGGTTTGTTAATGATTTTTTCGTTTCCTCTAAGTCTAAGAAGAGTAGCGGCTGGGGACTCTGCGTTGGCGAGTGCTGCTACGGATGGGGATACCCGAACGTCGTTGTTAGGGTTGTTGTAGAACGTTTTGTGTAGATGCTGCAGGCACTTCGTTGGAGCCGGCAAAAGATTGAGAATTCTGTACTGGATCGGATGACGGTTCTTATTCTTGGGTTAGTGTCGTCGGAGTTGCGGGCGAACTTGAGACTTCAGGAGCCCACCAAAACTTATTGTTGTCCTCGTTGTAGCTGGAGCTGCAGTTATCAGGGTCAGATCTTGGCATTATCTGGTTTATGTGGCGCTTGATGAAACCTGTGGATGAACGAAGGATAAATAACATACGACCTATAGGCCGATCAATGATAGCTTTTATCCACTTTTCTCCCCTTGCATAGTTTCTGGCAAAAACTTTCTGATTAGGAGAATACTTTGTTTGCTGCGTCTGCTTGCTTTCAGATCTCTTCTCGAAGAGTTGACTTAAGATCGTTCGAACCGGACGACCATGAAGAAGTTCTGCAGGTGTTTTTCCTTCAGAGTTAGGTGTGAAACGATACGTGCTGAGGTACTTTGTTACGGCTGTGTTGACTCGATATCCATCCTTTATATTTTTGCTGACGGACGTTTTGAATGTTTGGACGAAGCGCTCAGCAAGTCCATTTGATGCTGGATGAAATGGGGCGGTTGTGAAGTGGCTTATTCCATGTAGCTGACAGAACTGATTAAACGAGCCGGATGTAAGTTGAGGCCCGTTATCACTGACTAAAGTTTTAGGATAACCCTCAATGGCAAAAATGGCTATAAGTGCGGCTATAGTGTTTTCTGTTGTTGTCGCTGTCATTTGTACTACGAACGGAAACTGAGAATGTGCATCGACGCAAATTAACCACATGGAGTCAAATATAGGACCGGCAAAGTCGATGTGTATTCTTTCCCAGGCGGATGTCGTTTTTGGCCAGCTCTGGAATTCCTTTACTGGGGCTGGATTGCCTATCTTGCAAACGCTACAATCCTTTGCAATTGTTGCGATATCATCGTCGATACCTGGCCACCACACGTGTTGTCGTGCCAGTTGTTTCATGCGTACTATTCCCCAATGACCCTCGTGGAGGATATTTACAATCTTATTCCGTAGTGTTTGAGGAATGATGATTCTATTTACGTCAGAATGGAGACATAGTAGCTTGTTGTTAATCGTCAGGGCGAATCTACGATTATAATATGGCAACATTTCGAGATCCTGCTGTTGTTCTGGCCAACCAGTAGATACGAATTGATAGACCTTTTTTAGAGTACGGTCGTTTTGAAGATGTTGCAAGATTATGTCGGCATTTATTGGACATGACATCTCGACGACATTGTAGCATGCCTCTTCTGTGTCGAACTTTTCATCCGAGCTGATAGGAAGACGTGAGAGCGCGTCTGCATTTCCATGAGCTGTGGTGCTGCGATACCTTATTTCAAAGTTGTATGCCATCAAGATTATAGCCCAACGTTGAAGCCTGTTCGAAGTCATCGTAGGCAGATGCTTGCTTGGGTTGAATATCGTGACCAATGGCTTGTGATCCGTAATGAGAATAAACTTTCTGCCGTAAAGGTACTGATGGAATTTCTTTACCCCAAATACAATCGAAAGTGCTTCCTTTTCTATTTGGCTGTATCGAACCTGGTGGACATCTAAGGTTTTAGATGCAAATGCTATTGGTCTTTCCTTACCATCTGCTTGAGTGTGTGACAAGACCGCACCAATGCCATATGAAGATGCATCGGTGGCTAGAACAAGCGGTAGATGCTCGTTGAAATGTGCTAGTTCTGTAGCGTTGAGAATGTGTGCTTTTAAAGCTGTAAAAGCCTGCTGCTGACTCCGACCGAATTTGAAGACTACGTTCTTCCTTCGAAGCTGATTGAGCGGAGACGCTAGCTGAGAAAAATTGGGGATGAAATTGCAGTAGTAGTTAACTTTTCCCATGAAAGCATCCAGCTGCTGTAGATTAATGGGGGGTTTTAATTGCTTGACAGCTTCTAGTCCCGAGGTATCCGGAAGGATGCCCTTGATGCTTACTCTTTTTCCGAGATACTCAATTTCGTTTATCGAGGCGGGCAAGGTCCTGCTCAACTGTTGGAGCTGAGATTATTATGTCGTCTAGGTAATTTCCACAACCTTCTATGCCACTCAGAAGTTGTTCAAGATGACGCTGGAATATAGCTGGAGCGCTCGCTATTCCATATGGTAAACGTTGGTATTGGAAGAGACCCAATGGCGTGCTGACGACCATAAGTTCTTTTGCCGCATCATCTAACTCCATTTGAAGATATGCGTCTCTCAAGTCGATTTTGGAGAAATGGGTGCCGTGACGGATCGTATGTAATAAAACTCACGTGTTGGCAGTGGATATTGCTCGATGTCCAATTGTGAATTGACACCTTGTTTGAAGTCGCCACAGATCCGTAGTGCTCCACCTGGCTTGGGTGCTAGTACTATTGGTGATGCCCAGTTGCTGAATTTGACTGCTTTCCAAATACCGGCATCTGTGAGACGCTTAACTTCCTCCTTGAACTTTTCCATTTGAGCAAATGGAATTGGTCTGCTTTTGTAGAATTTCGGCACGAAATTTTGCTTTAAGTAGATGCTTGCCTTAAAGTTTTTTATTGTACCGATAGCCGGTTCAAATACTTCTTTGTACTTGTTACAAAGATCAGTCATTTGAGAACCCTGCACTTGACTCACATTTGAAATTTGTTGAATTTCGAAATTGAATGTCTGAAACAAATCCATTCCGAACAGATTGTTTGAGTTTTCTACATTTGTCACGATTATGACAACATTTGCCAATTTATTGCCACACTTTGCCACAGTGTGCAATTCACCCAGCACGGGGAATTGTTGTTGGCCAAACGCATGCAAAATGCGATCACACTTCCGCAGCTTTGGACTTTTGAGTTGTTTGTAAGTTTTCAAATTCATAACAGACACAGTTGCGCCAGAATCCATTTGGAAAGGAATGATTTCGTTGAAGATTTGCAGGTCGATTAAATTTTTATTTCCATCCAACTGCACCAGGTTTGACACGATGTGAATTGTTTGAACTGATTCTGCATGTTTTGCTTTGTTTTGGTATTTTTGGTGATCATTCTCTTTCCAGGTTTTTTCTTTCATATCTTTGCACTGCTTTGACATGCAACCGATAGCTATGTGTCCCTTTCTTCCACATTTATGGCAAGTAGCCTCGCGAAATTTACAATTTTCACGAGTGTGCGTGTTTCCACAACCGGAGTAAGATTTGAGAGTGTTCTTGCCTTCTTTTGTTTCCATACCACTTCGTTTCTGTTGATGTTGCTTATGTGTGTGTACAGCGTTCATGTCCAGTGCTTTGTTCTCTCTCTCCTTTATGACCGCGACTGTTTTCGTTGTTGCCTCGTACGTTTCGGCAATTGCGAGTACGTCAGCGAGGGAAGGCTGAAGCTTTTGCAAAGCGGCTGTGCGTACGGCTTCGAATGGCGTGTGTACAATTATTTGATCGCGTATCATTTCGTCAACATAATTGTATGTACACCCATTGGCGTTGCAAGCAAACTGACACTCACGAGCTATACCACGTAGATCAGCTACCCATTCCTTATGTGATTGTGAGTCCCGCATCTGACGTTTAAAAAATTCATATCGAACAGCAACAATGTGACGCTTCTGTTTGAAGTGCTCCGATAATTTGTCTGTGATTTGTGTATATGACTGCTGGTCCAAATGTTCGCTACCAAACAGATTTTTTACAAGTTCAAAAACTTTTCAGCCTACCCACGATAGAAGATATGCTTTTTGTTTCTCGACGGAGGTAACGGAATACGCGGCGAAATGCTGCGAAATTTGTTGTAAATACGTCTCCCAATTTTGTTGATCCTTATTAAAACTTGGGAACGATCGGACAAGCTGTTAATTCTGCTGATCTATTAACACCATTGTTTTGTGCGAGCATGGCTTCCATCCATTGTTGTTGCTGTTGCATTAACTTTTCTGTGAATTGTTGCTGTTGAGCCAACAATGCACTTATGTCTGTGGAATTTCTATCCATTGTTGTTGTTTTATCCTCGTCGCCAAAATGTTGTGTTTCGGTATGGAGAAAACGTTGTGTTCAGGGTGAGAACTAAAATCGAACTGACTTTATTACTCTCTCAAGCGCTCTCTGAGCATACATACATTCGGGTGAGGTAGTGTTAGTGTGTATGTGAATACATTTCAATGGATGGTGAAATAATACTTATGTTGCTAACATATAACATATAGCTGTATTTGTTTGTATGGCTACCAAAGCAATACATTTAGAAATGGTCAGTGGCTTAACTTCTGATGCATTTTTAGCAGCACTTAGAAGATTTATCGCTAGGCCAACATCTATTCCGACAACGGAACCAATTTCGTAGGAGCTTCAAGAATGTTAGATCAAGATGTCGTTAAAGCAATCCAAGAAAATACTATGATTGCTGCGCAACTTGAAAAAGATAGAATTGATTGGCATTTTATCCCCCCGGCAGGACCAAACTTCGGAGGTATCTGGGAGGCTGGAGTAAAATCCATGAAGTATCATCTTAAAAGGGTTATCGGGGACAACAGCCTAACATACGAAGAGATGTCAACGCTCTTGTGTCAAATAGAGGCATGTTTGAACTCAAGACCTTTATATTCTGCAGAAAATGGAGTTGATCAACAAGAGGTTCTTACCCCAGGTCATTTTTTGATTGGAAGACCACCATTAGATATAGTGGAGCCAATGACAGATGAAAAAATTGGAAATCTAGATAGGTGGAAACTAATCCAAAAGATAACGAGAAGGAACGTGTGAGTCGCTTTTCGGGACGCGACTCTACTTATACCCGTACTCAGTCAGTATACATATTATTGAGCATATGATTTTTTAGAGTTTGAGAAATAAAAAAAAAATTTTATTTTTTTTTGCTACAATGTATATTTTACATCTAACATGTAGATTGTACATGTTTCATTTTGATTCTACATCGTCCCGCTATTGGTTGCTCGCGCACTGAACGCGGCAGAGTGTGCGAGCGAGAAGGAAAATGAGTCGCGATGTCGTTTGCTGGAGGGGGCAGGGGAAGCCACTGAAAATTAATTTCTTCATTCTGGCTATAATTATGACCCGATCTGATTCAGATTCGGCAAAATTTGTCCCTTAGACGGAATTAAGTCTGTCGCCAAGGTTGAGGCTGATACTGAAGAGATCCAGCAAAAAAGGCAGACTAGAAATTCATCGATAATGTCAAAACTCGGGTTTATAATGGCCATGTTGTTATTTATATTAAGTTGTCAATTTTCTAACGCATCACCTAAGGTTGATAAACCAAAATATGCAATGAGATGCTGTAATGTCCTATCTCAGGCTGAGGTATGTATCAGTCTGTCCAGGGTCCTGAATTACAAGTTATTTATAATTCACGAGGACTTTATCGGGAAAACCAGAAACTTTGCCAACAACTGAAATAGAAATCACAACACTTTTTGGTTCTTTTAATTTTAATGGACATCTTTATTCTTCCGTATTATTATTCTACCCGGTTATGTTATGTTTGATTGTTTGACGACGGGTATGGTGGTTTGACTGCCCTCTACGATGGCTGGTGGACTGCCTCCGACGATGGCTGGTGGACTGCCTCCCGATGGCCGATGGACTGCCCGTTTCTTCATGCAAGGCAGTGCCTTTTATAGATCGGGCGGCCTTCCATTTTCCCATGAATGTCTTACAGATATCTTATTTCTACTCCAGAATGTGGGAAAGGTTCTTACATAAATATATATTGCCGAATTATAGTCTGCGCGTGCAGACGGGCTGATCGGTAACAGAAGGTTACCTAATCATTAGCCCTGCAGTCAGTGTCCAATATTCCCGGTAAGGAAAGTCGGAGACTGCTGACTGGCTCGCGCATGTGGGGGATTTGCCCGGTAATCGAGGGTTACCGATGCAATCGCCTCCCAACAAGTGTCCAATGTCCCAGGTAAGGTGATCGGTGTGCACCGGTACCGTGGGAAAGGAATTTCGTTGGCACTTCGGGAATATATTTTGTTAGGAATATTTATTTATTAAATATTATTTTAGGTACTTATTGCGTAAGCCCCTTGTGCTGGTCTCCTGTCTTTTGGCGTGTGCTGAGTTTGCATTTTTGCTGGGTGTTGATCGCTTCACCTGGGAGTAGCGTTGGCTGCGTCGTCTGCTTGTAACGAACATGGGATTCGTTACAACCCCCCCCATTTCTTCCGGGTGGGTGATGGAGAGATTTGTGGCGCTTGGCGGGTGCTGAGGCTTTTCCGGTTTATCCTATCCTTTCTCCGAATTCGTCGCTGTTAATCTCGTCCCCTTAGCGTGGCGTCGGTAACGTTATATTTTCTACTGCTGTTGTGATCGTGGCCTTTCTGCTGTTCTGGGTGCTTTGTAGTTGGTGTAGTTGGTGCTTGGTGGGTCGATTTTCCCATATGACGATGGTTTTCTCGGCAGTTTTCTTTGGTAGTTATTTGTCCAGGCATTCTCGAATCTGCGGTGCTATGTCGGGTGGCCAAGGATCCGTCGGTAGTTCTGGGTCGTCTTCGGTGGCTCCGGGGTCAAAGGTTTGATTCGGGTTTTTCGGAAGGATGGGTTTGTCAAATGTGCTTGACGGATCGATGCTCCGGTGGTAACCGCTTATGTGGGCGATGATCGGGATGGCGTTGGACGTGGGTAGAGTAGTTTTGTAGCTCTGGCGGAACACTTGGGTGGTATTGTCTCCAGACTGGTGCATGAACTGGCTGGTCTCGACGATGTCTCTTTTGTTGGACCAATGGCTTGTTTGGGCGACGGATGCTTGGGTCTGTGGGGCCAAGTCCGGCGGCCACGGCTCCGGTGTGGTGTCGACCATGGGTACTATATTTTGGTATGCCGGGGGTAGTACCCGTGTTATACTACAGCCAGACTGGTACGTGAACAGGTGAGTCGCGATGACGCCTCTGGTATCGCAGCAACGACTTGTGGGGGCGACGAAGATCTCGGACATGGCGCTAAGAATCATGTCAGTACGCGGAAGGTAC